GGCTTCGGTGTAAGATAGATCCGACCCCCCCTCCTTCTAGCGCCAAACTGTGGGAACCAAAATCCACCTACTGTCAAATAATCGTAAATAAGGAAACTTCGGGAAAAGCCCTAAGTTTCCAGAGGAACCGGCTATCTGCAGAACCGCACAACGAATATTAAGAAAACGATGAACTTTAAAATTAAAACGAAAATAAACGAGATTGAAAGCAAGAAGGTTCTTATTCCGAATCTGCGTAAGAACTGGTACAAAAGAGATGCCTAAGCTGCGTGAGCCGTCGGCAAAATCCTTAGAAATCTAAGAACGAAAACCCTAATTGAGACGCAGCTCGCTAACAGAAAACGAAAATTTTCCTAAATGCTAATTTCTGGTGGTGAGAGCTCTGAAAATCGTGTCCCTTGCTTCTGCTCTAGACCTCCTATTTATATACTCCTCGCCTTGGCCATTCGGTCTTTCCATTTCGCCCAGATTTGACTATACCGGGAATTTTCCATTTCTCGATCCTTCCTTTTCTTCCGCGGAAATCTTCTATTTTTCTTCAAACCTTCCTTTTATCTTCAAACTTGACATTCATATTCCTTCTGCGAGTAAACCGTCAAAACGTTATCGAATCTTTGGGTTAGATCCCGTTAAGATCACGAGATGGGTTTTTATCGCGTTTTAGGACCTTCCGGGCCGTTCTGCGATAAATCCGTTTTCCGACTTTTTACGGGATCGTTTCCTGATCTGATGTCGTTTTTAATAAATTCTTCAAGCTAATCGTAAGGTTTTACGATTTACTCGACTTTTTATTAAAAACGTGTTTTTTACGATTTACTCGACTTTTTTATTAAAAACGCGTTTTTTATGACTTCAACGAGTAATCTCGAATAAATCGTATATTTTAGGCAATGTCCGGTGTTTCGTTTAACCGTTGCTGTTTTATACGATTTCCTCAAGTTCTTTGTCGAGAAGACGAAGTTTTACGGTTTTTATCGTAAAACTCGAACGATAGGTCGGATCGAGATGGAACGGGAGATGTTTCAGCCGTGGTTCAGAATGTGACCGTGTCGAAAGACGTGCATTTCGAATCGGGAACGCGGGAGATCGAGGCTCGGGACGTCCAAGAAGTCCCTAGTTCGTCCAACGGTGAACTAAGCCGAGCTGGCTTAGTTCGCCGGTGGGCGAACTAGTCGGGATGGACTAGTTCTCGTTTTGCGGCTGTTTCGGTTTTTTGCGGTTTCGTAAAATGATTCTCGAGTTTTATAAAACGATCTTCGGATTTTATAAAACGATCTTCGAGTTTTATAAAACGGCTTCTCGAGTTTTATAAAACGATCTTCGAGTTTATAAAACGGCTTCTTGAGTTTTATAAAACGGTCTTTGAGTTTTAAAAAACGGCTTCTCGAGTTTTATAAAACGATCTTTAAGTTTTATAAAACGGCTTCTCGAGTTTTATAAAACGATCTTTAAGTTTTATAAAACGGCTGCTCGAGTTTTATAAAACGATCTTTAAGTTTTATAAAACGGCTGCTCGAGTTTTATAAAACGATCCTCGAGTTTTACAAAATGGCTTCTCGTTTTATAAAACGACCTTCGGGTTTCATAATACTATTCCTTTTATGTTTTTGCGGGGAATTTTGGCTATTGATTCCGTCGTACCGATTTTTACCCCAACAATAGGCTAAATGGATCTCTTATTTTCCTTTTATTACTTGTTAAATTCCACACTCTATAACTTTAAACGAACATGATAGACAGAGCAGTATGAGGGTGTGGTAAATTAAACAAACAACTAAGCAGTGTAGCTTTTCTTATAGAAAAACCACAATGAAATTTCAAAATAACAAAAAGTAACAAAAATGTTAGGTTTGGAAAATGTGACGACACTGATTTACCTCCAACTCTTTTCGGATATGTTGTTGTCACCAAGAGTAAGGAAGGGATAGTTCCACTTCTGTTTAGCTTCCGTACCTTTGTTCAAATGATACATTTAAAATTGTTTCCCCTGCAGATGGTGATATTTTCACTGCTATAAGGATTATGTATTACATCTGAAAAAGGTTCTAAATTGCAATAGTCAATTAACACTTGAAGTGATGAGAAAAAAAAACTTTTGTGATAACAATTAACAACAGGAAATGAAAAGATACAATAGAGAGAACCTCATAGAATATTATTGTATTAGTCATCGGAATGGCCTACAAAAACTTCCAATACTCAGCTACTAAACTTTGAACTTTCTGGTTCTGGAGCTCATGAAAATCATCTGCTCTGGCTGAAACCAAAAGCATAGATTTAGTCACGTTATTATTAGTTTTAGAAAATTCAGAAGAATATCAAAAGTTTTACCATGGTGGTATGTTCCTTCTTCTCTCTCCCTTAACCATTGGTTGTTGCTGGAGGAACAAATAAAGAGAAGACAATATGAGTGTTATGAATATAAAAAATGAAAAATCTAAAATCAATCTCTAGATTGCAGACATGTCAGCCGACAGAATCATGCTGTGAGAATGATAATGTTGCAGATTGGTAAAGAAAATATCATCGAATGAGAGATAGTGGAGAAGACGAAGATGAGAGAGGAGGGGGAGGACAAGGAGAATCATGAGCTTTATAGATTAGGCGATTTAGAATTTATTTGTTGAACTGAATTAGGAAGAGGAACGGTGGGAGGTGAAACGAAATCATCAAAAATGATTTAAGAACATAAGTAAGATTGAGATTGAGTCATGATTATTTCAGAGAAGAAAGAGTGATTTGCAGGGAGTGGAAGTTCCAAAGTCGATCATCACCATCGTTAATGTCAAAGAAGGCCAGAGTTGACGATGTGGATTCTAGATGGGCCAGTTATGAAAATAATGAGCCCAAAGAGCAACTCGTTTAAGATCTGGTCGATAGAAGCTTAGGTGACATCAGTGGTGAACCCATAATGATTTTAAGCATGGGTTAAAATTAAATGTGTCTTAAATTTTTACATAAAAAAGATGTAAAATAGGGTGTCAGATAGGTTTGAACCAGGGTTAAAGGGTGCAAGCCAAAGTGAAAGTATCACCAGAGCTGGTGAAATTTAGTTATTTAAGTTGAACATACCACATTTTTATAATTTAAGATGTGCCTCTGGGTGACATGTTAAATTGAAATATTTCCATTGGTTGATTAAATTTGATGATGTGGATAGGCTAAATAGATCTTTTATTCTTCTTTTATTACTTGTAAAAAAACGAATTCTATAACTTTACACAAACATGATAGACAGAGCAGTATGAGGGTGTGGTAAATTAAACAAACAACTAAACAGTGTAGCTTTTCTTACAGAAAAACCACAACGAAATCTCAAAATAATAAAAAGTAACAAAAATGTTAGGTTTGGAAAATGTGACGACACTGATTTACTTCCAACTCTTAAAGAAAAACCACAATGAAATCACAAAATAATAAAAAGTAACAAAAATGTTAGGTTTGGATACGTGGTTGTCACCAAGAGTAAGAAAGGGGTAATTCCACTTCTGTTTAACTTCCGCACCTTTGTCCCATATAATACATTTAAAATTGTTTCCCCTGCAGATGATGATATTTACACTATTTTAAGGATTCTGCATTACATCTTAAGAAGAGTTCTAAATTGAAATAGTCAATTAACACTTGAAGTGATGAGAACCAAAATCTTTTGCGATTGCAATTAACAACAGAAGGGGAAAAGATACAATAGAGAGAACCTCACAGAATATTCATGTCCTAGTCATCGAAATGGCCTACAGAAACTTCCAATACTCAGCTACTAAGCTTTGAACTTTCTGGTTCTGGAGTCCATGAAAACCATCTGCTCTGGCTGAAACCAAAATCAGAGATTTAGTCACGTTATTATTAGTTTTAGAAAATTCAGAAGAAAATCAAAAGTTTTACCATGGTGGTATGTTCCTTCTTCTCGCTCCCTTAACCATTGGTTGTTGCCGGAGGAACAATAAAGAGAAGACAATATGAGTGTTATGAAAATGAAAAATCTAAAATCAATCTCTAGATTGTAGACAGGCCAGCCGACGGAATCCTGCTGTGAGAATGATAATGTTGCAGATTGGTAAAGAAAATATCATCGAATGAGAGATAGTGGAGAAGGCGAATATGAGAGAGGAGGAGGAGGAGGAGGAGAATCATGGGCTTTATGGATTAGGCTATTTGTAATTTATTTGTTGAACTGAAGTAGGAGGAGGAACGGTGGGAGGTGAAACGAAATCATCAAAAAAGATTTAAGAATAGAAGTAAGATTAAGATTGAGTCATGATTATTTCAGAGAAGAAATAGGGATTTGCAGGGAGTGGAAGTGCCGAAGTCGATCATCACCATCGTTAACGTCAAAGAATGCCTGAGTTGACGATGCAGGGAGTGGAAGTGCCGAAGTCGATCATCACCATCGTTAACGTCAAAGAAGGCCTGAGTTGACGATGTGGATTTTAGATGGGCCAGTGATGAAAATAATGAGTCCAAAAGAACGACTCGTTTAAGATCCGGTCGATAGAAGCTTAGGTGACATCAGTGGTGAACCCATAATGATTTTAAGCATGAATTAAAATTAAATGGACCTTAAATTTTTAAATAAAAAAGATGTAAAATAGGGTATCAGATAGGTTAACCTGAGTCAATGGGTGTCAGCCAAAGTAAAAGTACCACCAGAGCTGATGAAATTTAGTTATTCAAATTTAACATATCACATGTTTATAATTTAAGATGTGCCTCTCGATGACATGTTAAATTAAAATATTTTTATTAGTTAATTAAATTTGATGATATGGATAAGATTAAATAGAGCTCTTATTCTCGTTTTATTACTCGTTTGATTTGGTCTAGTGATTAACTACAATAGTTACAATCATAAGTCTGTCCCATTATATCTCTCCCATGCATTATCATCTATCACTAAAGAAAAGACATTACATTGAAAAAAAAAATGATTCAAAAGATTCATATTTCATTTCCCGAGCTTTTGATCATACCTAACAATGCCTTTTCTTTTTGTTATACAGTCCGGTTGCTGTAAACCACCGACCGCGTGTGGCTACAACTTCGTGAACCCGACACTGTGGCTAAACCCAATCAACATGGCTGTAGACGCAGACTGCTATCTATGGAGCAACGACCAAAGCCAGCTTTGCTACAATTGCAACGCATGCAAAGCTGGTCTTTTGGAAAACCTTAGATTGGATTGGCGTAAAGCAAATCTCATACTTATCATCACTGTCGTTGTTCTCATTTGGGTCTATGTTATTGCATGTAGTGCGTTTAGGAATGCTCAGACTAAGGATCTCTTCCGCAAATAAAACAGGGTTGGGTTTTTAAGTGTGCATGTATAGATTTGATTGGAGTATTCGAAAATATCTTGTGATATTATTACTGTATGTTTCAAAAACGCTTTTCTCATGGACTTTTTCTATGTTTATGTTAGATTGCTTGTGAAGAAAGAAAAAATATCTGAACCAATTTATACGGTCATAAAACCCTATTAATTAAGTAAACATTTAAAGACTTTATTGATTGTTATTTGTCTCTTATACAAAATCTAGAGGATTTAACCATGAACATCTACTCTCTTGAGTTTCTCTTTACTAAAGCTTGTTTTCATCCTGCAATGTCAACATACATAAATCGTGTCAGCTTCTCTGTACACAAACACAACAACATAAATACATATGGGTATATGATTGTTTTTTTTAAATATTTATAAGTTTAGTCCATCTACCTTAAGATATACTTGCGTCTACTAGCTAATTGAAAAATTATTTGTACGCAAAAAAAACGTTTGATAAGACATTAATATATAATTGTTTAATATCAAAACGTAAACGCAAATACAAATAAATAATTACTGTGGTGATGGTGATGGAGCATTAGGTGCTTCACCGCATGTTTCGCTCATAGTTTGGTAGAGAGATTCACTTTCAGAAGGATGCTCGCCTTGTGGGCTCTTGGAGACAAGGCAAAATAGAACACACTCGCAGATACAATATCTTCTCACAGAAGGATCCTTGTGACGGCACTTTTTCAAGCAATTAAATAAACATACGCTTCCTTCTGCTTCTTGTTCCATGGTAGCTATCGCCAACACTACCATAATCATCACCACACTCCAATTCGTCATCCCTTTCTCTCTTTAACGGTTCCTTGTGTTTTGTTTATAATAGCTTTGACTATGTTCACCTCAAAACTAATTTTATATACGTAAGAATGTAATAACTAAACATTGATTTACTGTATCTTTTAGGCGTTACGTGGCACTAGTTTTCTATGGTCCAACTATTTGTCAACTTTCTATACTTATAAGACTTATTCTTGGGTTCACCAACCAATAGAATGATGTTATTTCATATTTGATATCTTTTAAAAAAAGAAACAAATCATATTAAGTTATATTATGTTTTTTTTAAATAATAATAATAATAATATTTACAAAATACCGAAAACAATTCTTTAAAATAAAGATTTTAACATTAAATGAGTTTTTAAAATAAAAAGATAAAAACAAAATAAAAATTAATAATTGGAAAAAAACAATTAAAAAATCTTTTAATATATCTTTAAAATGAAAACCAAAATTTTGTTACATTATATTATGTTTTTAAAATAAAAAGATAAAAATAAATAAAAAATATAATTGGTTCGTATTAATTTTTTTTTATTTAATGTTTAGGATATTTCCAAAGGGTTTATGATTTAACCAAGGGTTTAGTGTTTTAGTGTTAAAATATTTTTTTTTAAGATTTCTTTTCGGTTTTTGTAAATATTCTTATTTTTATTTATTTTTTTGTATTTTTATTTTTAAAAAATAATATAGCTTAACAAAATTGTATTTCATTTTTTAAAAAAATATCAAAATATGAAATAACATTATTCTATTGGTTGGTGAACCCAAGAATAAGTCTTTATAAGTATAGACAGTTCACAATTTCCAAACATAATGAATTTATACTTTATATTAAATATTTTTATTTATTTTTTGCATATGAGATAGAAATTATATAAAATATCATTTTACACTTAAGAATATTTCAATAATTGATTTTTTTTTTTTTTTGTAATATCAGATATGTCCATCATTTTCTCAATATGAAAATAATCTTCAATAAAAATAGAAAATCTATTTACAACTATTTATATTTTAATCTTTATTATTAAGCCTTTATTTATTTTTATAATTCTTATATTTAAGTATATTCTAAATTTAGACACATAGTAAATAATAAATTTCATGATTTTCTAAAACAATTTTCTTTAATAACATACATTATTTTTTATTCTTTAATAGTATGTAATCTTTATTTTTCATAATTATAAATAAAAAAAATCAATGTATATTATTATTATTCCATCTGTTAACATTTACTAGGTAAGATCTTATAATAATTTTAGACTTATCAGTGAAACATATTTAGAAGGTCCTACATATATAAATTTTGAATTATGAGATCTTATTTAAGTTTAAATTTATTATGAATTTGTTGTACATTCGATTTAGGAAATATTATATTAGTGATGCACGTTTTATTGATACATGTTTTAGATGCAGGTAATATATTAGTGATGTACGATTCATATAACATGTTAGTGATGCACTAAAGGAAAAATCTCTATTATTAAAACACTACAAGAAAACACGTCCTTTACTAGGACGGGTTTTCCTCGTTATTTCCTAGTAAAGGGCCCTTTACTAGGAAATAGCGAGGAAACGTGTTTCGTCGAAAGACGTTCATCGTAAAGGCTATTTTCCTCGTAAAGGCCTAGCTAATTTACGAGGAAAGATTTCCTCGTAAAGCCGTGGAAAACATTTCCTCGT